TCGTGCTGGGGTGTGGTCGTGCTGGGGTATGGTCGTGCTGGGGTGGGGTCGTGCTGGGGTGGGGTCGTGCTGGGGTCTGGTCGTGCTGGGGTGTGGTCGTGCTGGGGTATGGTCGTGCTAGGGGGGGGTCGTGCATTTCGCTCGAGACATCCTGCCAAAATTCCAGGAAATCGTACAAAAACAAACGAATTAGTCGATACATCATCGAAATTCCTTCGCGCGGGGCGCTTTTCCGCGTCGCGGTCGGCTCTGCAAAACAAGCGTTTCGCTCGAGACATCCTCGGCAAACTCTGCGGAGCAAGCGTTTCGCTCGAGACATCCTCAACACACGAAAAAGTGGCCCGCACCCTGTGATTGATCGATCGGGATTTCAAAAACAAGCGTTTCGCTCGAGACATCCTCAAATTTTAATTCGCCGGCCTCCTTCGACCTCGTTATTTATCAGGGAAAAAATTCGCCGGCCTCCCTCAAGCAGGCACCGGGGGATTAGGTTTACCAACTAAAAGAGAACCCTGGGCTCATGCCCTTTCCGGGAAAAACATAAATGTTGCATTCGCGCTTTCTCGCTTTCAACGAACCCCCAAGATCGCCCAAGATCCCGGAGAAGCACAGACAACATGATGGACCCACGAACCCGGAAAGGGATAAAGACATGTGCAGCATGGTCACGTTTTCACGATACCCAACTGGGCGACATCTCACGAAACATCCCACGAGACACCCCGCGAAACATCCCACGAGACACCTCACGAAACATTCCACGAGACACCTCACGAAACATTCCACGAGACACCCTTTGATTGAAACATTCCACGAGACACCCCACGAACAGGCAACCACTCAACCAGACACGCCACGAAACATTCCACGGGGGTGCGACGGGGTGTGGTCGTGCTGGGGTGTGGTCGTGCTGGGGTGTGGTCGTGCTGGGGAGTGGTCGTGCTGGGGTGTGGTCGTGCTGGGGTGTGGTCGTGCTGGGGGGTGGTCGTGCTGGGGGGGTGGTCGTGCTGGGGGGTGGTCGTGCTGGGGCGTGGTCGTGCTGGGGCGTGGTCGTGCTGGGGCGTGGTCGTGCTGGGGCGTGGTCGTGCTGTGGTGAGGTCGTGCTGGGGTGTGGTCGTGCTGGGGTGTGGTCTTGCTGGGTGGGGTCGTGCTGGGGTGGGGTCGTGCTGGGGTGTGGTCGTGCTGGGGCGTGGTCGTGCTGGGATGGGGTCGTGCTGGGGTGTGGGTGTTCTGGGTGGGGTCCGGCTGGGGTCTGGTCGTGCTGGGGTGTGGTCGTGCTGGGGTATGGTCGTGCTAGGGTGGGGTCGTGCATTTCGCTCGAGACATCCTGCCAAAATTCCAGGAAATCGTACAAAAACAAAGGAATTAGTCGAGACATCATCGAAATTCCTTCGCGCGGGGCTCTTTTCCGCGTCGCGGTCGGCTCTGCAAAACAAGCGTTTCGCTCGAGACATCCTCGGCAAACTCTGCGGAGCAAGCGTTTCGCTCGAGACATCCTCAACACACGAAAAAGTGGCCCGCACCCTGTGATTTTTCGATCGGGATTTCAAAAACAAGCGTTTCGCTCGAGACATCCTCAAATTTTAATTCGCCGGCCTCCTTCGACCTCGTTATTTATCACGGAAAAAATTCGCCGGCCTCCCTCAAGTTGGCACCGGGGGACAGGTTTACCTACTAAAAGAGAACCCTGGGCCCACGCCCTTTCCGGGAAAAAACTTGCATGCCCTCCAAGGAGGCCAAGAGCATCCCAAGAGAGCACCAGGAGGACCTCGAGAGACGATCGTTTGGCCTCCAACCAGAGGGACGAGTTAATCGAGGACCCCCCCCTGGTAGTACTGATTGCCCCCAGGGCGGCCTCAGGAGGACCCCGCAGGCCCCCATAAAACCGACCCAAAACGCCCCGAGAGAGCCCTAAAACGGCCCAGCTAAGCCTCCAATAGAGCGCAAAAATGGCCCCAAGAGGCCTCCCTGAGACTCCCTCTCAACCTCTTGCGGAAACGGTCGTGCAGTGACGGCCCTTTGGATTGACACCTTATTTCTTCGAAACCGGGAGTCAATCATGAAGGCCTGCATGGCTCCCCATACGGAACCCCCTTCAGCTCACGGGATAAGATGCTAGGGGAATGTGAACGGGATAGAGCGGCTGACCCCACCGCTGTGGCACTGCATGTCCTGCGCTTCCCTGACGAAGGCAACTCGCTACGCGAAGCATCAACAACAAGCGGTACGCATGCCCTCGCTCTTGCACGGTAACGAGAGACAAGGTAAACGAGAGGGGGCTGTGGCGAGAGCCACGGGAAGACCAGGGGACGGGAGGCCAAGCCACGAACGAAGGGACGACGAAAGGGCTCTGGGGCAAGGGGGGCGAGGGGGCTGGGGAAGGGCCAGGGGTATGCCAGCGTAAGGGGGGGGGGCAGGCCACGAACGAACGAACGACGAAAATAAAGAGGCCCAAGCTCCAAAGACAGCTGCGCAAGGGAATGAAACCTGCATGACCCAAGCTACCCTTCCACATGGCCCCCTGGTGGCTCAGGTTGGCCCAACATTGCGTCTCGCACGGTCAAGAGAAGCAGCCTCCTGAGGCCCACCACGTGCCAAAATCATTGTTGCACTTACTCCAGCCTTCTCGCCCTTGCCGCTTCCGATGGGCCTGGAACTCTACAAAGAGCGCATCAGAAGGGCCTCCATAGGGGGCAAGCGGGCCCCGATGGGGGGCCCAGAGGGGGCCCCCGGCCGGTCGGAGTCGTAGGCTGCGGGCAGCCCATGGACGCGCGCAGCGGCATGCAGATCGGCGCGCCTGCGCGCCCGCTGGAAAACATGATGGACCCACGAACCCGGAAAGGGATATAGACATGTGGAGCATGGACACGTTTTCATGATACCCAACTGGGCAACACCTCACGAAACATCCCACGAGACACCTCACGAAACAGCCCACGACACCTCACGAAACATTCCACGAGACACCTCACGAAACATTTCACGAGACACCCCGCGAAACATTCCACGAGACACCCCACGAAACATTCCACGACGACAGGCAACCACTCAACCAAGGCGGTGTGGTCGTGCTGGGGAGTGGTCGTGCTGGGGGGTGGTCGTGCTGGGGGGTGGTCGTGCTGGGGGGTGGTCGTGCTGGGGGGTGGTCGTGCTGGGGCGTGGTCGTGCTGGGGCGTGGTCGTGCTGGGGCGTGGTCGTGCTGGGGCGTGGTCGTGCTGGGGCGTGGTCGTGCTGGGGTGTGGTCGTGCTGTGGTAAGGTCGTGCTGGGGTGCGGTCGTGCTGGGGTGTGGTCTTGCTGGGGTGGGGTCGTGCTGGGGTGTGATCGTGCTGGTCGTGCTGGTGGTCGTGCTGGTCGTGCTGTGGTCGTGCTGGGGTGGGTCGTGCTGGGGAGTGGTCGTGCTGGGGTGTGGTCGTGCTGGGGTGTGGTCATGCTGGGGCGTGGTCGTGCTGGGGTGGGGTCGTGCTGGGGTGGGGTCGTGCTGGGGTGGGTTCGTGCTGGGGTGCTCCGCACCCTGTGATTTATCGATGCTGGGGTGGGTCGTGCTGGGGTGTGGTCGTGCTGGGGTGTGGTCGTGCTGGGGTGTGGTCGTGCTGGGGAGTGGTCGTGCTGGGGTGTGGTCGTGCTGGGGGGTGGTCGTGCTGGGGGGTGGTCGTGCTGGGGGGGTGGTCGTGCTGGGGGGTGGTCGTGCTGGGGCGTGGTCGTGCTGGGGCGTGGTCGTGCTGGGGCGTGGTCGTGCGTGGTCGTGCTGTGGTGAGGTCGTGCTGGGGTGTGGTCGTGCTGGGGTGTGGTCTTGCTGGGGTAGGGTCGTGCTGGGGTCGGGTCGTGCTGGGGTGTGGTCGTGCTGGGGTATGGTCGTGCTGGGGTGGGGTCGTGCTGGGGTGGGGTCGTGCTGGGGTCTGGTCGTGCTGGGGTGTGGTCGTGCTGGGGTATGGTCGTGCTAGGGTGGGGTCGTGCATTTCGCTCGAGACATCCTGCCAAAATTCCAGGAAATCGTACACAAAACAAACGAATTAGTCGAGACATCATCGAAATTCCTTCGCGCGGGGCGCTTTTCCGCGTCGCGGTCGGCTCTGCAAAACAAGCGTTTCGCTCGAGACATCCTCGGCAAACTCTGCGGAGCAAGCGTTTCGCTCGAGACATCCTCAACACACGAAAAAGTGGCCCGCACCCTGTGATTTATCGATCGGGATTTCAAAAACAAGCGTTTCGCTCGAGACATCCTCAAATTTTAATTCGCCGGCCTCCTTCGACCTCGTTATTTATCAGGGAAAAAATTCGCCGGCCTCCCTCAAGCAGGCACCGGGGGATTAGGTTTACCAACTAAAAGAGAACCCTGGGCTCATGCCCTTTCCGGGAAAATTGAATTGAACAACTAAGAGAACTCTACGACCGAATGGCGTGGACTCAATCACACGTTGTAGACTAGCTGCTTCCACGCGTGCTCCTCCACAAGTCGCTCGCGGAATCGCACGTGCGAGCCAGTCAGCTGGACTGCCTCTGGCATGACTGCGCGCGTCCACTTACTGTTCGGCCGGCCGCGCCGTCGCTCGCAGCGGTCGGCGGCCGGCACGTCTGTTCCGGGGATAAAGGACGCCCTTCTCGGTGCCGACCCCAGCGGAGAGCGCATAATCTTGCCGGTGAACAGGAGTTGCCGCGCATGGAGCTGGTCTGAGGCGGACTGCGCGCCAGCCCTTTGCAAGACCGTTGCGTTCAATAGCATCGAGACGCAGGGCGGCGGGATGCCCGTCACAATTCTCCGGCGCTCGGCCCGAAGCCGCCAAGCCTCCGCAAATCAGCATTCAAACAACAGCCAGAGCAATCCATACAGTAGTTTGGATTCAACGAGCGCGGCGAAAACTTGCAGCTCCCACCTTCGAGGTAACAGAGAATGCAGCCGCACTTGCCTCGCCGCGCAGAATTCTACGCACACCAGTCCGATCCTCCGGCTGAGTTCGGTCGCCATCTTTCCGTCGACAGTCAGAGTTGATCTAAAGTACACGAGCGATTCTTTGCACTGCACGCAATGGCCCCCGATCTGCGCCTCAGCTTGGCGACGGGTCTGTAGCAGCTGGAACCCGTTGACGTGTAGCTCCAGTCCGCACGCCTGTCTGGCCATGGAGATTGCGCGCGCGAGCTCCCGGGCGGACGCGGAGGCTGCCCCGCTGCCTGCGCGTCGTCGGCGCAAGCGATGTCTGCCAGCTCCCCAGACACGCAGGCCGCGCGCGCGCTCGGAGAGAGCACGGCAAACGCGTCTTCCATCACGCAGGACATCACTGCGATGAACGTCAGCGGGCTCAGGCTGCACCCTTGCAAGATGCCCGAACGCTGCGGCCGTCCGTTCGACGTGAACCCCAAGTATTCGACGTCTAACTGCCTGCTGCCCATCATGTGTCGCAGCAGCCTGCTGCGCTTGCCAGTGGAGCCTTCTCTCTGCACAGCTGAGAGCACGCTGTCGACGTTCGCGCCATCAAAAGCCTTGCGCCAGTCGAGCGGCCGGAGAGAGACGGCGCCGCCTTCCTGAGCACGTGCGAAATCGATGCGTCTCCGAGCAGTGAACATGGCGCCTTCCGTGCGCCGCCTCGCCCGGAAGCCGAACTGCGCCGGCAACATTCGACCGTCTAGCGTCTAGCCCTGCGCCAAGAAAGCTTTGTCTGAGCATGCGGGCGAAAACGCGGCATGCCACAAGATGGACAGATTTGCCTGTCGGTGCCCGAACATCCCAAGTCATTCTTCTTGAACGCCATGGCCACTTTGGCGATCGCCCATTCCTTCGGCACCTGCTTTAGACGAAGACACATGTTCACGACGTCGAGCAACGGGTGGAGATTCTCTCCAGGGGGCGCCGCCAACACCTGGAAGAGTTCGATCAGGACGTCGTCGGGCTTCACGCTTTTTCCATTGGCCATTCTGTCGATCGCTTTGCGGAGTTCCGTCGATGAAAATTACATTGGCGAATTTCCAAGACTGCAAGTCGCCGTTGGCACGTCGTTCAAAACGGAAACCGGGCGCGCGCGCCACTGCGCGGTCTTCGGAAACTGCGCAGAAATTGACGCTCTGTCCTCGCCCCCGACCGGCGCCTCGCCCTCTGGCTGCGACCTCGTCTGCGCGACCTTCGGGCCGCGGCGGAGCCGCGCGCGAGATGCCCATGTCCCCTGCGAAACAGCATCGCGATGCCAGCGCGCCCAGCCCTGGCGAGCGGATTTATCCACCCCCTCGGCTGTTTTTTTTTTTTTTTTATTATGAATGTCTGCCAGCTGTCTGCGCCGAGCCCGGCGCTCGATGAGCACCGAGGTTGCGTCGCTGACCCAAGGTCTACGCTTGCAGCGCGAAATGCATGGGGTGACCCCGCTGGCCGCTGTCACTAAATTGGCTCGCGCACTCCCCCATGGCGCATCCAAGCATGGCCTACGAGAAGAAACGCAATATAGACAAGCGCCCCTCACTCTGGCTTCAGACAGCGTGGAAAATGTCTACTTCGGTCTTCTCGCCGGCGCATTCCGCCGCGGCTGCTGGGCGCGCGGCCGGGCAGTCACTGGGAAGCGATGGGTGGACATCGCAGCCACAGGGTCGCCGCGCAGGCACCGCGCCTCCCACGCGGGACCGACGGGCACAAAGAGAAAACCCAGCAGCGAACGCAGTCTCGGAAATCGGGGACGCCGGCGCGGAGACGATCTCGTAGTAGGTAATCTGCTGGCTGGGCTTGTTCGGCACAAGTGTGTTCGCAATGGCGGATCGCCGGCTGATGCGCCACTCCATCACCTGGTCTCTGTTGGGCACATCCACAGGATGTCGCGCCCCACGACCGAAAGTGAAACCACCGACGCGGTCTTCCTCGCCCAGCCGTCGACGACCCAGTCGAGCGTTCAAACCTCCATCGATGAACTGCTCTCATCTGACCTGGCTCTGGCCCAGGCGCGCATCCAGCGCGTCGAACAACGCCAAGCGTTCGTCGAGCGGGCGGCGGTTGTACCGAACACTCGCCCCGATAATCGCAATACTTCCTCTGGCTGCCCTCGCGCGAATGCTTCCCGCCCGGCTTGAACTTGGAGTGGAACCGAGAACTCTTGCTGTGTAATCGCCCCGATACGATAAGCCCTACTCCAGCCCGCTCCTCCTCTCCTGTGCTGGAGCCCGATAGGTAAATATGATATCAGGACTCCAACTGAAAATAATCAGACCTTAGCCGCCGAATCTAATGAACAATTGTGATGTCAAGTGAATTTGAATTCATGTACGCGCAGATCTGTTCGATTTTGATGTCTGACAGTCCTGCCACGATCCATGTGCATATGTTCATGCACTCGCCGTTGCTGGAAAACTGCGTCGAAATTGTCTTGTCCATGGGGTGCCTTACTACGGGCCCTTGCCATTATTGCCCTTACCCGGCATGTCCTTGACCCGGTCGAAAATCTCTTGCGCCGTGGTCTTGAGGCGGGCGAGCCCCGGGGAGGGCTGGAGCTCCTCCCAGCGCAGCCAGTCCCCGCTGCACCACTGCAACGATAAAATGTGGTCCGCCATTTCCGCCTTCACGACGTCCGTCCGTGCCACCCGCAATATCCTGCTCGTCGCGTCCGCCTCCACCTCCCTCCGGCCGTGCCCCCAATCCACCAAGATGTGCTTGAATGCGAACAAAGCGGGCTCAGCGGTGCGGATGTTGAGTGGCTGATCTACTTTGGCCCGTGGTTTTCCCGACGACCCCGCTGGAGCTTGGCGGGTAGCTGTGATGATCTTGCATCCAAAGGAGGAGAGACCCTCACTGCTTGGCAACGTGCTTTGACCCACTAAATTGCCTTTTCGATGCCGTCCGCGTTCGGGATGTTGCCGATCACGGTCTTGAGGCTCTCGGGCACGAGGCTGTTCTGCTGGGAGTGCTGCTGAGCCTGTGTTGTCGCGTTGGCTTGCATGACGTTAATCGCCTCCTGAAGCCTGTCCACTTCAGGTTGAAGATTTTGATGCTTCGACTCCATGCTCGTGATGCTGAGTCCCATCGATCCCAATTCCTCCTGCATCTTCATATGCAGCACAGTCAGATCTGCGGAAAGCTTCGCAACTGAGCGAATGATGGGGCCGATCTCTTCCTTCAGGAGTTTCCTAATGCCGCCGAGCGTGACCGGCTCTCCCGCCGCAATCGCGTCGAGGTATTCCAACTCGCTGTCCGCGCGTGCCTTCTTAGGCATAGGTGAATACAATCGAGAGGACATCAGAATGCACACTGTGACTATATGTTGAAGACAAGGGTACAGTAACAGTATGGCCCCTTAGGGCAAGTATGGCCCATTGAGCCACGAATCTCTTGAGCCAAATGGCTACGGCAGGCAGAGGGGCCTCTAAGAGGCGGCAGGAGGCTTCAAACAGGACCCAGGTTGACTACGGTGACCTTACAATTCAGAGATGTTGGCTTGCCCGCCTTCTCGCTTCCAACTGGCCTTTGAGGCCTCAAGACGGACCCGACATCGCCCAAGAAACCTCCAACAGGGGCTGGAAGAGCTTCTCAAGATGGCCCAAAAAGGCCAAGAGCGTCCCAAGAGACGCTTTCTCATCGGGATCCGAAGGGGCGAGGTTGATTAGAGCCGCCCTGACTCCAAGAAGTCCCCAAAGGGCCCCAAGAAGGCCCCGAGAGATCCAAAATGGCGTTCTAAATTGACCAAGAAGCGCCCAACAATGGCCCCACGAAGCCTCTATTAAGCTCCCGGATCGAAGGATCCGCGACGGTCGACGTTAACTCGGCTGGGGATCGTTTCTGGACGGGCCGGTGGGGAGACGCGAAGCGCCAACGAGCCCACCCCGCTTCGGGCGCCCAGGCCGCCAGGGGCTGAGGGGCAATGATAAGGGGGGGACTGGCTCAGGAGGGGAAACATCGACCTGGAATCGGCGATACATGGTCCAGGGTCTGGCCCCCCCCCCATGCTGATGCCATCGCCCCCCCCGCGCGATGGCTCCCCACCCCCCCTTGTGCGCGTGGCGTGGTGCCCCCCCCTTGAGGGTGTGGTGTGGGGTCCCCCTTGTGCGTGTGCAGTGGTTGGGGGCCCGCCTCAGCAGCCAAGCGTCGCCGCCGCCGCCGCCGCCGTCGCCGCCTTCATCGTCGTCGTCGTCGCCGCCGCCGCCGCCGCCGTCATCGTCGCCGTCGTCGTCGTCGTCGCCGCCGTCGTCGCCCCACGATCCTATCGGGGGGGGAGGCCCCCGCGCCAAGCCTGTGCCCCCCGAGCGTTGCCCCCTGACCTCTGAGGGGGCCCCGGGCCACCAGGGGCCCGCGAGTGGGCTGCGCGCTCTCGAGCGCCCCCGCTCCGCCCCGCTGTGGATGCCTTTTCGGCTCTCCACCCTCGGAGGGCTGCACCCTCTCCTGCGGGGACAGCAGCCGACCGCAACCACATCGAGGACATACCCACGGGGGACGTTGGGCTCCTGATCCTTTGGGAGGTGACCTACTTCGCCGCTACGAAAGTTCGGCCAAAGTGCAGCGCCTCGCGTAAGGCGACGGGGCCCTGGTACGACGCCGTCAGTGGCGTGGCGCCCGCGGTAAGAATAGGAGACGTCGGAGGGGCCCGTTAGGCCGCGGGGCCCCAGCACAATGTTCTGCTCAAGCATTGTTTTGACCTGAACACGATGGTTTCGAAATCCAGTCGAGATTTGTTTTTTGTTGAAGGAAGTCTTGGGCGGGGGCGCCATTTCGAAATGGAACCCAGAAGTTTCGAAACCGTTCGAAACTATTTTGGGGGAGAAAGGTTCTAGCGGAAACCGCACTTCCGAAATCTCTGGTCAGAAATTTGAAGATTCAACTGCCAAACCGTGTGGCCATTTCGAAACGACGGTTTCGCTTGAGACGTCCTCCAAAAAAATCCGAAATGGCGTTCCCGCCCAAGACTTCCTCCAAACTAGAATTCGAAACGTTTCTGGTTCGATTTCGAAATGGCGCTCCCGCCCAGGAAGTCCCCCGAGACAAAATTGAGAGCTTCCGGGGTTCGATTTCGAAGTGGCACTCCCGCCAAGGACTTCCTGAAAACTGGATTCCAACACCTTGTGGTTCGATTTCGGAATGGCGCCCCCGCCCAGGACTTCCTCGAAAGTAGAGGTCGGCGCTTCTTCAGCTCGAACTCGCAACGGCGCTCCCGCCTAAGACGTGTCTTGGTGGAAGCACGGAGCGGGTCAAAACTTTCGTAGCGCCATTTTAAGTTAGGAGGGCCACGAACATTAGGAATAAGGGGCTCGCTTCTGCAGATGTATCGAACCAAACCGTCTAGATCGATTACCCCTAATGCAAAGACGGGGATCTCAGTGAGGCCACGTCTTCACTGTGCATGATTGCGCATGCCTAAAGTTGTCGGAGCACCGAAACCAGCTTCGTAGTGGTTGTGGTCGATGTGACATCCAAGGACGACCACATCAACCACAACCACAACTAGAGTGCTCACGTCGAGGTCAATGGGTTCTCCCCCAAGGGGCTGTGGTCGTGGCTCTTTGTTGTGCCCGGATATCTGCGTCTTGCCAACGACCTCCCCCCCTGCCTCCCATGCAGCAACAGCTCGCCCGAGAGACGCGTTCCCGCCGCCTCGCGGAGAGGGGGGGGGCCTCCAGCGGGGACAACGTTGTGCTGCCTGAGCGTCCCGCCCTTCGCCGTGGGGGGAATGGCAGCCCGAACCCGTCCGGAAAACACGGCCGCCGGGAGTCGGAGGCCCAGCCAACCTGTGCAGACGCCACCAGCCCGCCAAGCAGGCGCCGATCAACCACTCGGCGCGCACGCGCGCGCAGCCTGGTCGTGGAGAGGAGAGGAGGAGGAGAG